GATCTCTGGTTTGTATTTCGTTATTGCTATTTACATTATTGCAAACCTTCTTACATGCTTTAGTTCCTTATTACCTTTGCTGCGCAACTTTAAAAATACGCTTTCAAGTTAAGCTTTTCAAGTTCCGTTCTTATCGTACGAAAGATTTGTCGAAACCAACGTTTTAATCCGCTGCACTAATTCACCCCCCCCTCTTAGTGCCGCTCTGATCCTAACAGTAGCGTCAGGACCCGGGAAACCCGGGATGAGACCATTTTAGGCTCCAAGTTTGAATCAACTTGAGGCCTATAAGTACCTTTCTCATCCTTGGTTAACTCACACAAGAATTGAGTGAAAAAAAGTAGAAAAACTCTATTATAATCTTATGAGAACTCCTCTAAATCCTCTAAGTGTTAGTATAATTTTAGAGGAGTGAAGGAGGTGTAAAGGTTGTCTCCTAAACCTACAAAAAGGAGAAGAGGGTTGTAAAAGGGTAGTTGATATTCGTCCATTGAAAGAAGATCGTTAGTGAATGCCGGTGGCCTCAACGGAAGAGGAATCGGTGGAGCGGATGTATATCATGACAACCGAACCACTATAAATTGATTTACATTTCATTGTCACTACGCTCCCATACTCTTTCAAGTTAATATCTTTACGAAATGATTTTCATCGGAATCAATTTTTGATTGTACAATGATTTTCAAACCGATATAATTTTTTCGCTGCACTAATTCACCCCCCCCCCCCCTCTTAGTACCGACTCATTCCTAATGTTGAATCTTGTATTTTGATGATGAAACCAATTAATAAGTGTTTATGATTTGATATACATTTTGAGTGACGCAGGATGCTTCGATCAAGGAGATTCATTTAAAGCAGGAAGAATCATGTTGGGCCGGAGGAAAACATGTAAGAAGATTGGACGTCAGGCTGGAGGATCAGTCGACGTATCGTTAGAAGGCTTCGGGCCATGGATTCGGGCATTGAGCCAAGAAGAGCAGATGTTGTGCCAAGGATATCGGAGTTGCGAAGGTCAACTGGCCAATTGGACAATAGGCCGCAAGAGAGGACGATGCGCCAAAGAATCGGACGAAGCGTCGATGGACCAATGACATGCCGGACGACATGATTCATGCTTAACAATAATTGTCTAGATCATAGTGTGTTTTTATTTGTGCAGGATTAACTATGATAGCAAGGCATAAAACAAAATGAAGTCCTGGAGTCAAGAACATGATTTCATTGGGAGTTCGAGAGTTCGTCGGAAGTCCGGACATTCGTCGGAAGTTCTACCGGAACCACACGAGAAGTCCTGGAGCTTGCCAAAGAAGCTCGTTGGAACTCGCCAAGAAGATCATCGTGAAGTCCAGGAGCTTGCAAGGAGTCCGCCAGAACATTGCCGAGAGATTATCGAAAATTCGCTGAAAGATCGTCGAAAACTCGTCGGAAGAAACCGGACTTATTTTGCTTAGAATATATATTAGGAATCATAGTTAGCATATAATTAGAGTTGAGATTGGGAGGTAATCTCATCAACTCTGTTAGGGGCCAATTGGGCCTGAAGTTGGGCTGGTTTGGATCGAATTCAAGGCCCAACCAAGATGTTGAAAGCTTGGCCTACGGTGGCACCACTTGGGAGACTCAGTCTCCCAAGTGGTCTGAGCAGTGGTACCGCCCCTGTTTGGTGGTGGTACCGCCATAACTCGGTCTCCGAGCTCCATCAAGCGGCGGTACCGCCCAATGGCAAGGTGTCAGGCGGTAGCACCACCCCTATCAAGCAGTGGTACCGCCCAGTGCAGTGTTAGTGTTAGACTGACATTGGTGGTTTTTATCATGATTAATTATATAAATATAATAAAAGATCCTATGGGATGATAATTGTTATATTGAATATAATCAGTCATAATATGATATCTAATTACTTATGTGATCCTTATTTTAACTTTATATATAATTTTAATTAATTAAAGATGCTATGGCTAATTCCTAATTAATTAAGAATATATGGATCACTAGACATTTTGGACATATAAAATTGACTCATAAGCATAAATTAATATAACCAAATATGTATGAGCATTTTACCGACTAAAAATATTGAAATATTATATCCTCAGGATTTTCAACATGAAATAGATCAAGAAGTTTCAAAAAGAAACCAAAATCAAGTTATATTCATGATATAAAAATAAAAACTATTTCATATCAAGGCAGAGGTTAATTGGCTCTGATACTAACTGTTAGAAATTTTAATACAAAAGTATGTTTCTAAACCATTATGATAGAAACACAAGAAAAAACTATTGTGGAAACGAAATTATGTACCTCCAGCCATTGTTGTCAAAAATTTCAACAATGATTTTTCCTTTTATTTTGGTACTTCTTAGTTCAGAACTATCGCTTTAGATGTTGTAGAAAATCTTTTAGACCTGAGATAGATGTTGAGCCTAGAGACCAAAACTATCGTTTATATAGATGTTCTCCCATCAGGAACATTTATTATCACCAACTCATAACGTTCAAAAATTAATTCAAATTTATAACGTTTGGACCATAATGAAGAATTTAATTGATATTAAATAAAATATTTAATAATAATGATTATATTTAGAATGAAAAACTAAAATATTTAAATCATAATAAATGAGAAAATTGATTATAATAAATGATGAACTTAATAAGAATAGTTATATTATGATTAAATAAAATATTTAATAATAACGGTTAGAATACTAACACGAGCCAACTGAAATATGTGATGGAGTAAAAAGATCTAGTAGACTATCATTGGAAAAATTATTTAATCATAAGATTTAAAATCATTCTATAAACCAAATAATACATACTAATGAATTAAAATCGAGAACCTTTTAAGGTATTCTATAGTCATTGTTTGATCCCCAATAGTTAAAATCTTCTTGGCGATAAAAATAAACAACCAACACTTAATTTTATTTTGTTAATAAAAGTCGACGATGTTGACACTATCGTCACTAGAAACAAATACACATGAGATCTTCTATAGTTCGTCGGGTCACCAACTTCTATGTAAATTATTTCTAATACATATAATCTAAACCTTTTCCGTCAACGTCACTCTTCGGTGTGGTACATCCAAAATAAGTGCAACATCCCAGACTATTAGATGTCCATAATACCATGTAACACAAAAGTGCATCCATCCAATTGATCCACAATACCAAAAAGGATACTCGATATGTTGGAATATCTATTAGATGTCAAAATGGAGTCTTACTATATGACACTGCCCAAGAGAAATGGTGAGTAAATGACCCTACCTCAAGAACTTGGGACAAACAAAATCTTATAAAATGGTTGATGAAACTATGATAAATTGCAGAGTTGATGAAGTCAGGGGTGATGAAGACAAAGGTAATGAAGACATCCCAGACTTTACATTTGATAAAATTTATATTTAATTAGTTGTATTAACATAAAATTAATTAATATTAATGATTGCATATTCAAATATATGTCATAAGACCTTCATCAATATTTTACTGAGCACTTCGGAGACGAAGGATAAACGAAGAGCCTTTTTTTTTATTCAAAAAATAAAGCTATCAACACGACAAGGATAATGAAGACCTAATCACAACCCATTTTGACTAACTAATAATTGAAATAGCTTGCCTTTCGTTAAAGCTTATGTGTATGCTTTTATAATCCTTTATTATTAGCTTAAATTTATATAGACTTAAATATCGTGAGTTAAAACATTACTGACATAGAGATACTCAAATATCCATAAAGGCAGAGGATTGTTTGCGACACGAAGGTAGAAGATGAAGTGGGAATCATAGATGTCTCAGTAGGCTAACATCCATCAACATAAAACAATAGTGAGAACAAAGGGAAAAAAAAAAAGAGACATGAAGCAGAAGCAGGAGAACCTATGGCTTCTCCCCCCATCATCTCATGGTAAAGCAACTTAGCTCCAGCGTTAAGTTTCGAAACTTTGATGGCAGGGCTTTAGCTCTCTTCTTCTCTCATAGATGTTGAATGAACATGACACATTAGGAAAGCCTACTACACTAACACAGAATCTGGTGGCCAACATGTGTAAATATCAAGTTGGTGGGTTGCTTTTGATTCATCTACAGGTGACATAACATGAGAACACTTGAACTGTGAATAAGGTCGAATCAAAGAGAAAATAAGTGCCTGATGCTTCAGCATGCTTAGGCATGAGTTAAAGTAAGTGCGTGATGCTTAAATAAAAGGACAAGAAAATTGACTCAGAGAAATCAAGTTAAAATTTATACTCACATAAGGTCGAGAAAGCTTCGACCATTGAATCGCCAAGAAAGCTTTGACAACGAGAGTTCGTCGAGGAGATGTCGAGGCCGAGGATGGAAAGCCGACAAGATATCGCCATGAAGAAAAACCAAGGAGACATCACTACCAAACCTTTGTCACGGTTACACTAGGATTACAGTTGTTTGTAGTGTAACCCAAATTAGGTCGGGCCATGGGATATTAACTGAGCCGATTCAATAGCAATCGGTTGGTTCAATGAGCCTATCATAGACTGTTGTCATTTGAGAAAAAAGAGATGCCCTAAAGTAAAAACGAATATGGGAGTCATCTCGTAATACTGTTTTGTGTGGTAAATACAAATTTGTAAATATGTAATATATATGTATATATATATATATATATATATATATATATATATAGGGTGCAGGGGCCCGAGGAAACGTGTTATGCTGTCTATTGAACTAGACTTTTGGCGTCAAATATAATAGAATTTTGACCACTGCTCGCACGATTGCCCCAAAAATAAAAGGACCTCTGAACAAATCAAAATGCAGTGCTCGAGGAAACATGTTATGCTGTCAATTGAACTAGACTTGTGGCGTCAAATATAATAGAATTTTGACCACTTGCTCGCACGTTTGCCCTAAAAATAAAAAGACCTCTGAACAAATCAAAATGAAGTGCTGTTAAGTGCAACTTCAATTGAGAAAGATAAAGGAAATAAAAAAGAAAGGAAGAAAAAATAAAAACTTTACTATTTCCATTTTTCAAAGAATCAACGAATAGTTGACTGAGCCATCCAAATAATTTATAACATTTTATTTTTGGCCCACTACTAGTCCTTTCAGGAGCCTCATTTTTTCTTCTTCTTTCTGTGACAAATGTTTGATACCTTTACAAGCTATGCCGGCTGCCTCATTAAGTGGTGTACAACACTTCGATGTTGTAAGAGTAACAAATGTACAACCTTTAAACTTAGAAAAGTAACAAAATGAATGAATAGAGCCTAATGGAACACCTGAGATGATGCGTAGAACTCACCTTCACTGAAGCCTGGTCTCAGATCCTCATTGCACATAAAGTCCAAAGGGAAAGAAACAAGATGACCTCTGATTGATTGCAGTCTCTCCATCGGGTCCGTGTGTTTGACATTTCCATTCTGATAAGTCTCCAGTTTCTCAGGAGTGATTCCTAAATCAATGGTTGTATGTCCGAGTTTCTCCTTCCAGATGTTGGTGTTTTGTCGGAAAGCAGCTCTGCATATGTTTGACATCGTCGGCGATTAATGTCTTAGCAGGAAAGTTTGAGAATAGATATCTGAAAATATGATTGTACCTTGAGTGGATAAGATCACTGGGTACACATGAAAAGACATCCTGGTAGATCATGGTGTTTGTCTGCCACAGAAACAGAGTTTAATAACTTGGGTTTGAAATAAGCTATACAAGGCAAACAACAGGCTGATCTGGTACCACAGCCAATACAAAATCCTTACTCCACAAGGAATCAATTTATGAAATTGACTCCAAAGTCTTGTAAAACAAGAATATATGTTGAAACCTTTCTAGCATGGTATATATATGTCATGCCGTTTTGCATGCACCACTGAATCAGCACAAGCCAATAACTAACTTGGCCATGTTTCATCACATATATCATGGTTCAGCATGGTAACATGGTACAGATCCAACATGGCTTGGCACATGCCATCAATCCATGATGATAGCACAACAGTCTTCCTTGGCTCCTTCAAGAGATGGGTTAATTCCTATATTAAATGAATTCAAAATGAATATTTATTTAGAAAGTTTTGCCTACAGAGACACTATATAAATGCATCCAACACATTGACAATAATACTTGGTGATATCTTCTATTAAAGTGAACAAGAAGGGGTATGATAAAAAACAGCTACATTTAAGGGCAATCCTAAACAAAACTCAATGAAATCACCAAGCATGTCAAGTTATATTCATTGGATACTCTCTTCCAAGATGACCAGATTTTAGCTAACCACAAACCTTTTGGCTCAAGACACCACAAATATTAGATGATGGAAACTTCAGTTTACTGGTTAGACATTTAGACCTTCATGCTCTTATATTGGTAAGGAAAACGTTTGCCCTTTTATCACAAAAAGAGCAATATAGAGTCTGAAGCATCTGCAAAAACAAACCAAACATGATCCTTCTAGATTTGTTGATCCATTTGGAGGAAAGATTTGGTGATCTTGATCCTTCCTACAAGTGGACTTATGCTTTGTGGAGGATTGATAGAGTTGTTGAAACACAAGAGAAAACTGAAAGGAAAACAATCTAGATTGCTTCTTGAAAAGGAATACCTACAACTAAGAAGAGACTTCTTGAACAACAAGTTTGGAATTCTTGAACGATAGCTTGAACTTCATGTGTGATAGCTTGGACTTCATGAGTGATCCTCGGACTTCTTGAGGCTGCAATCTATGGCCTCTCCCTTTCTCCTCTTCTTTCTAGCCGCCGACTCTTCTTTCTTAGGCTGCTGCTGATCTCCTCTTCTTTCTAGCCACCAACTCTCCCTTTCTAGCCGCCAACTCCTCTTTTTATAAAAAGATTTGTACAGGGGAGGACTCCTAACTAGACTAGCACTCTCAATCGGAGTCCAACTCTTTTTCCAATTCAGTTCCAACTCGGATTGAGTTGGGTTGAGCTTTGAGCTGGCTGAACTTGAGCTCTGAGCTTGAGTTTGAGTCGGCCAAATTTGAGATGAGTTGGAATATGAATTGAACGGAGTTTGAGCTGAATTGGAGTATGCCTTGAACCGAGTTTGAGCTGAATTGGGGTATGCCTTGAACCGAGTTTGAATTGAATTGGGGTGTGCCTTGAACCGAGTTTGAGCTGAATTGGGGTATGCCTTGAACTGAGCTTTGAGCCATGATCATGGCTTCCCCAATTTGACGATTTAGCTCCTATTTAATGTGAAATTGAAGATAGGGAAACTCTACTTCATTGGCTTTTTTCGTGAACCACCTTGCTGAATTTGGCTTTTTTCTTTTGCATTTTACTCGGAAGCTGTTTTTATGTCTCCTCGTCTTGTGGTAGGAACCTTCTTTTTAAGGATGGTATCTTTGTCTAGAATCTACTCTTAGTCGAATTGACTCGCATGAGCATGACTTTGTCTTTGCTACTATATGTAGGTGTCAGGTTGATCAAGCCGCACATTTAACATCTCTGCATTGATAAAGCAGTCGTAGGAGGGGAAATCAATCCATACCTCAACTTGGAAAGGTCGGAACCTTTGCCTTCACCACTGGTTTTGCAGCATCATCATCATCACGGTGCATTTTAGTGAACTGATTTTGTTTGTCAACGAAGATAGCTCCTCCTTTGTTCTAGCACGCTTATCTCCATCATTTTTCACTGTCGTGTTGGCTTGAGATCAGATCCAATCCATCACGTTCTCCACCTTTTGCATGAGCACTGCGACTTGGGTAACAAGATTCGACGATGCTACTGGAGTAATTCAGGCCATCATGTCATCGGCTCTTTTCATTGGCGATCAAGGTTAAAACTCCTAAACTCCTGAAGTTCTTCCCCTAATCTTTATATCCTTTCCTCATGGTAACCATCCTAGGTGAGGATAGATGTTCTAATACCACCTGATATGTTTTGGGAAAGGACTTGATGATTTTGATCCTTCCTTCAGGTGGATTTAATGCTTTGAGGGAGACTCAATAAAGGTACTGAAAGAAGAGAACAAAGGCAAAACAATCTAGATTTTTTCTTGAAAAAGAGTACTTAAACACGAATCTATGAACAGACTTCTTGAGCGATAAAGCTCCGACTTCTTGTGGATAAGCGCTAACTTCTTGAGGCTGCAGTTTGCTGTCGCCTCTAGCTTTCTCTCCTCTTTAAGGGCCAGCTGCTCCCTTCTTTGTTGTGACTCCTGCTGGTCAAGGGCTTTCTCTCCTTCTAGGACTGGCTGGCGCTGTTCGTTTCTGGTGATCTTTGGCTGCCTAGAGGACTGCTAATCGGAGTCCAACTCTACTTCTAATTCGAGCCCAACTCGGATTGGGCTGGGTTGAGTCTTTGAGCTGGTCATACCTGAGCTTTGAGCTTGAGTTTGGCCGAACCTGACTCGAACTAAGTTTGAGCTAAATTGGAGTAGGACTTGGACTAAGTTTGATTGTCCCTGATCGCTTGTCTATTATAACAAGGCAATCCAGAAGAAACATAGCCTGGTCCAACCCCAAAACCTGATCGAACCAGGAACCATATTGAAGAAAGTGATAGGGGTACCATGATCTTCCCTGGTTGCCACATAGGGCCTATAACCCTATGACTTCGAGAGGAATTAGGATCTAGGATCGACCCCATTACTAATCCTATCAAGAGTTCATCCAAAGGCAATCAGTCCTATTTCTTTCTAGTCTAATGTGTTTAGGATATAGTCAATGGTGGTCTATAAATAAATACTTGGTAATATCTAGTGCTGGTAGAAAATAATATATTACATAAGGTGACCAATCATGGAATGACAAGACTTCTGGATGACGAGCCAAAGTAGTCACAATGTTCAAAGGAAAACAATGGATTGAACTGCCACAAGAAAATTAGTTGTTTCCTAAAGGTTTCAGTTTCCTCACCTTAGCAGTTGCCGTCCAGATGTCCCTATATGTTGCATTTGTGACAGGATCCCTGATCTGACTTATCTGTATGAACCAAATAATGAGATTACAAGTAAAACATGAGAAAATCCAATAAGCTTTTAAGCATTATTCAAGGTCAAACACATTTTTGTAACTGTGATATAATGCATCACTGTCAGTGAAGGATCCATCTTAGCAAGTTGCCTTCAAACAGAAATTTTCCATGTGACATACAAAAACTGAAGAAGAGATCATTGAAGGATATCTGTGAATCTTTAGATGTATTTGGGTATCCAAAAGGAACACCCAAGATACGGTTTCACCATAACACTAGTCACAGAATGCTACTAGAGTTCTTGAAACCTGGTGAACTTACTAAAAATAAAAATAAAAAGACAATCTTTTGAATAGTATACAAAGTTAACAAACCTCTTCAGCACGAAGACCCAGGTGTTCTTGCCATAGTGAGAGGCGAAGACTAAGAGAAAATTTTCCAGCTTTCCATGGATTTCCATTCATATATGATTCAACAAATTCTTTATCTTCGATAAGAACACCAATCTGAGCAAGCAACACATGCCACCATGAAAAGGAATTACAAAGCATTGTTAAATAGGCAAAATAATATAAAAATAAAACTTTTGCCTGGAAAGAAATCAATAAACTAAAAGCAGATAACTGAGGCTCAAAGAAAATTTTCCAGCTTTCCACGGATTTCCGTTCATATATGATTCAACAAATCCTTTACCTTTAACAAGCACATCAATTGGAGCAGGAAATGAAATATAAAGCTTTGGTAAATAGGCAACACAATACAAAAGTAAAATGTCTGCCAAGAAATGAATAAGCTAAAAGAAGATGGCCCAGGCTCAAATAACTTTGACAAATTCCAGCAACATTTGAATTTTTCTCCAAAAATTTTACTCCTTCCAACTATTACATAATATGTGTGATTGGTGCCTCCAGCAGATCTCAAATTCCTGACCTTGTAAGTGCGCACACTGCACTTTGACCACTTTGATGTCTCCTCGAAGACAACTTCTGAAGTTTTCAGAATTGTCATCTTTAAAGATTGAATTTAAGCATACTTGTCTATGGCATAACATTAAAGGTAGAGTTAAAAAAACTGATGAGAAGTACAATATCTATTTTCCCACAACTTTCTAGATAATTTACTATTGCCACTAACAAGGATTGAAATTTTGTATCGTACCGGAGTTTTGAGCTTCGCTCAGTACGGTACGATACTATGTACCGAGCTGTCACGGACTTATCTGATTTTGCCTAAGTCGTGTGGCACCCTTGCGTGTCCGTCCGCAAAGGTCAACCTCCCCGAAACCTCCTATGGTCCCTTAGGACCTACAAAAGAGAAAACGGGTTAGAGAAAACGTCTCATTCGGGATCCACAAACAATCATTTCAGGAAACACTTCATAACCAATGCAAATTAGAAACAAACTTCACAAGCTCTGAACGCTCGCACAATAAAAGATCCAAAATGGTCCACTATAGACCGAACATCTCTCAAAGTGTCCATATGATACAACCTTTATTTAAAAGCCTAAAACAACCACCAAACCCAACTAAATGGGGCTATTAAGCCTTCGACCTTCCCTCTACATGCTGTGGAAAGCATGAACAAACCAAAAGACACGGACATACATGAGCATTACATTAAATACCCTATTTACAGTTTTGTCCGTGACATTCTCCCCCACTTATTCCTTCGATGTCCTCGTCAAAGCCTTTGCCAACGCTGCAACTCCTCACCTTCGCTGAGTCTTCAATCTTTTGCTCCACCTACAATGCGCCTCCTGGCTCCCAGTTGCTCTCCACCGCTGTTGTTGAGTAGTCGAACTGTTGATCTACCATACTGTTTCAACTCGCCAATGACTCTGACTCTAGTGTGGGGTTGGCTGAGTTGTGTTAATCCTTGTTGGTTCCTGCGGATCTTTCAAATGAAGGAAAAAACAATTCTTACTATGCACCAGTCTCTCAAATGTCTCATCCTGCTTGAACTGGGTGGATGCTTTTGGAGCTTTAACGAGCATCGCCTCGTAAACTTTTGAAGTTTTTGGGTCCTTCCTCCATAAAATTTGCCCATCGACTCTTCTTTCACTTAGTTGTCACTTCCAAGTAGGTTCGTATCACTTTCGCTTTCGATTGGCATTCTGTTGGGAAATGAAGCGGATAATCTACTCTCAGTAGCACTGATCACCATTGGTGAGGATTTGACAACTATTGTCTTTCATTTGGTTTCTTCGAAGGGTCTTTGAACATGTGCATAGCTCTTTTACTTGATATATATAATAAGAGAATTGGGGTACTCGGTTTCGCCCATTCTCTTAAGAGTTGAGAAGGCAAAGGTTACTTTGATTTCGCTTGCCTCCTCGAGGGTTATACTCCATGCATCGAGCTGGTTACTGGCCTTCGCTTGCTTTTTGCTCACACTTCCGAAGCACTTAAAGTGTTTGCACTGCTTGCGTTGAGTTAGTTACTATGATTCACCTTCCCAATGCAATCGAACTTCTTAAATGCAGGAAGTTTTCACCTCAACTTGGAATAAGTCTCTAATAGTTTTAGTCGCCTCTGAGATTATACCGTCTTCTCCATCAACCCAGCCGCCTACTCCACTGAGTAGCAAAGGTACAACACCGCATACTGCCTGCTTCGTTCCTTGGTCGTACACTCTTGCATCAACCCAAAGTCCTCCACTTTCGACTATCTTGATGAGAAGCTTGTTAACACCGGTCTGCATTCTCCACCTCCTTGATCCCTTTCACGACCAAACGCTTTGCCTCCATGAGAGCAAGGGATCGATAACTTCACAAAAGTCCTGCCTTTATGGTACCATAGCGTTGCCATGCCCATGGCCCTACCATCCGTCGCTTCGCATCTGCATCCCTTTCTTCGCGATAAGTAGATCTGTCTCTATGGCACTCCTCCGAGTCCACCTTCATTCTAACCGATACTTGGTTTTGGGTAGCTAAGTCCATCTGGACTCGTTGTCGCTTCCTCGTCCCTTTCGACCCCCTGCTTCAACACCTCTATGTTCTCCAAGCAATTCCCCTTGGTCGATGGAAAGACAAATTACAACTCCCATGCATAGCCTTTGCCATCATGTTGTAGGGTTCGCACCGATTCTATTTTTCTTAGCTTCCTTGTTAGTAACGTTCACTTACTCGGCCTTGTCCTCTGACTTGTCGGGCTCCCTTAAGCGAATATGGGCTCTGGAGCAGTCCAACTCTCCAGTCGCTCTGATCATACCTCTGCATGATCAAGTCCTCCCATGGGACTCACTAGCACTTGCATTCAAACTTTTCTCTCGGTGGTACACAACCCTCATATGTTGATGACCAAGGCTTTCATCCAATGCAAAATTCGATGCATGCATGGAAGACCTACCTCTATGGTACTATGGCTTTCACTCCTTGAATTCATAGCCCTTCTTGCCATCGTGTTGTTCACTGAAGTGCAGCTCCCAGGAGCTCCCAATCATACCTCCGTATGATATAGTCCCTCACGAGACTAGATTCGTGTGTATCACATTGCCACGAACTGTTCCACCACGATCCGTTACACCATGTCGCCTCTTGGTGACATCTCCATTGCATTCTAATCCTTGTGGGATGAACTCAGATTGTGATCCCTCTATGTGTGGCCTTTGCCAACACATCGTAGGGCCTCTTCCACCATCAATTGTGTTCACTCATTTAGCAATCTACCTTCGTCCACCCGCTCTCAGGTCACACGTAGACGAAACACCGCTCTAGGACAGTTCATCACCTAGTAGCTCCCTAAGTCCACCGACTTCGCTGAAATTAGTGCATCATTGTCCGGATCCTGGGCCTCTGTCCCTACCAGCACAATCTCCGCTGCGCATCGCTCCCTTCATGGCAACTTAAATGGTAACACTGTGGTATATTCTTCAAGAGTATCCACCTCCGCATCCTCTTGCCCCATGCTAAGGCCTTCTGAACCTAATTTCGCCTTCGCAAGTTGAGTCGTCTTAGTTCCTCCATCAAATGCCTCTCCGAGATAAGGTGCATGTGCCCAAAAGCTTCATTCGTCTTTGGCACCATGCAAGATGAGTCTACTCCATTAGAATGAAGGACCCATGAAACGACATGATCTTACTCTTGCCTCTGTAAGAGTTCATGTCCTTGACCTCTATCCGAGGAAAGCTCTGTGCCTCCGCTCCATATTTCATCTTCTCTGCTGACTCCCTTCATGCGGCTTGGGTACTTCGTCAAGTTACACCCAAGTTGCTACGCTCCTCGATTTGCATTGAGTTGATGATGGTCCTCACGCCCACCATTCCACGGGTCAGCTCTCCATTGAGTCTGATCTCCATATCGACTCTAAGTGTACCTTCATCTTGTGTTGCCTTGGGTCGCTCCCCCACTTGATCTCGCAATGCATTCCCCAATGCATTATCTCAAGCGAGATCATGCGATGACTCCTCGCTACTCGCTTGGTCCGTTGAGCTTTATGAAGTTGTTTTGAGGTACTCCTCAACATGTGCGGTTCGTTGCACATGGTTCTCCCTCTGAAGAGCCCAAAGACTTATCCCTCCTGGATATCTGTCCTGTTGGAGCAACTTCTCTCTTCGTTTCCCTCTCTCTGAAAGTTTCGAAGACCACCATCCCCTTGGACTACTCTACCTTGCTGAACAAACTGTGCATTGTTCCATCTTCCGCAAACGCACTTGCTAGATTGCGACACCACATCACTACAGCCCCCGCTGCACCCCTCAAGGCCTAGCAACATGCTGAACTTGCTGCACACTTCAACCTTCTACGGAGGTATCCTTCTCATGCTGAAGAGAAAGTTTCAATGCTCCATGGCACCGAGTTTTGGTTGCCTTGGGATGGCCACGAACACTCCATCGTTCGTATACAAGCCTTTGCATGAGTATCGAATTCTTCGAGTTAGTAATTCCCCTTACCTCTGTAAGCTTTGCACAACTTTTTTGGTCGCTGAACAACCCATTCCACCTTACACGGTCTCATCCTTTACCAAGCGCCTCGCTTGCCTTGAGCACCATCAAGTATGGTTGCCAACGTTGAGTCGTGGCTCAAACTTAGCCATCCCAACTTTTGTACGCTATATATTCTTCTCAGCTTACTTGTCCTCATGGTGCCTCTTACGTGAAGGGTCGGTCATTCCTCTGAATACTAATATCAGATGCCCGCTCCTCTGAGCGACTCCTTTTTCCTATATCTCCATGCCCGCTTTCCCCCAAACGGTCGCGCATACTGGCTACCCTCAACGCAACCCCGCTAGGTCCCCCACGTTTGCATGATAAGTGTTTCTATGAGTGCTTGTCCCGCTCTGACATCATCTGTCATGGACTTAGCTAGTTTTGCCTAAGTCGTGCGGCACCCTTGCGTATCCGTCCGCAAAGGTCATCCTCCCCGAAACCTCTTTGGTCGCTTAGGACCTATAAAAAAGAAAACGGGTTAGAGAAAGCGCCTCACTTGGGATCCACAAACAATCATTTCAGGAAACACATCATAATCAATGCAAATTACAAACAGACTACACAAGCTCTGAACGGTCGCACAACAAAGGATCCAAAACGGTCCACTACAGACCGAACATCTATCATAAGTGTCCACATGACACAACCTTTATTTACAAACCTAAAACGGCCACCAAACCCAACTAAAATGGGGCTATTAAGCCTTCGACCGTCCCTCTACATGCTGTGCAAAGCATGAACAAACCAAAAGACACAGACATATATGAGCATTACATTAAACACCCTGTTTATAGTTTTATCCGTGATAGAACGGTATGCTAGGGCGTACCGAGCGGTACACCTAATTTAGGCGTAAAATCCTCTGAAAATACCTTAAAATAAATAAAAAGTTATGATAGAGTTTTTAAGTTAGAAATAAATATAGCAATAGTATAAGTTTAATAAAATCAATGTAAATTAGGTAAGAATAGTATCACATATCCATTTCGGACTTTGAGGAATAGCCTTGTGCAAGGTTCATATTTCGATCTGTTACGGATTGTTCTTTTGTAAATATTAAAATATTTATAAAAAATTATTTGAATTGTTAGATTATTTTGTTACACTATAAACTTTAAATTCAAATGAATTAAATAATCACATATGTAGATATACCTGATTGTTGTTTCTACCACCAAAATGAACGCCTCCACGGGTGGTGGATCGGGGTCCATGGTCCTATATATCTGCATATCAACATGATATGTTTGTTGGACCCAATCATGAAATTGATCCCACGACATAATTTATTAACCCAATCATGAAATTGATCTCATGACATAGTGTATTGATATATCGTATGTCATTGGTGCATCAATGTGGTGATGATCGTAGGTTGATCATCATGGATCGCATTTGTCTGAGGCGGCTCTTGAGGCATATATTGGTGAATGTTAATGCTTCTACTTTCGCTACTGATCTGTTGCTCTGTATCATACTGTTGCTCGGAGAAGTATAACCAACTATCACCGTACTACTATTGGCCGATTATTCTTTATAATACGATGGCTATGAATACGATGATTCTCTACATCATGAAGGCTCTGTCATATCTGCTCAAATTCATCCACTGTCTTTCCCTTCCCCTTCCTCTTCCATGCATAAACTTGACCAATACTTTGTCAAGTTCTATAATCAGAATCTTGAGTGGCATGTATAAAATATTGCACCTCGGTCCATGAGTAAAATACATATCTCTTGATTAAAAGTTCTTTCTCTTAATCTTCTCAAATTAGCCTCGATTCAATTCACAAATCGTCGCTTTGTAGAGTTTAGGAGAGTGCAAATATAAGAAAAAATGAGTTTGAGGTAGTTGAAGAGAGTGTGAGAGTGAAATAGAGGAGAATATGAGTTTAAAAACCTATAAGAAAGAGCTCTAATGGTCATTTTGACTGTTGGAGTACTGTTACAGATCGGTAACGATTAATTTTGACCGTTATCGAGCTGCGCCGAACAGTAATGATCGATTTGTTACCAAGTTGTGCCAAGTGATAACGATCGATTTGTTATCGCCCGTATCATCCGATACGGGGCGTTATTGAGCGTTCCGCACGGAAACGGGTGGTTCGCGTACCGGCATGCTATCGGACTAGTATGTACCGCTTGTACCAGGTAGTATTATTCAAAATTAAAAACCCTGACCACCAATAAGAGCAATGGGAAGTTCAAGAAAATAACTACATTTATAGAAAATTTTCCAAGTCATGTTTCCTTGCATCACTCCAGAAACAAGTCTACTTGGACAAGTTTAGCTATATAAGAAATGAAGGCTAATTTAGTCATCCAATTACTTACTAAGGAAAGGACCCAATGTAGTTATGTACAATAATTAGAATGCTACAGAATACTGAACAATTATGCATGTAGAAGTGCTTTCTGCTTTACATTAAAAATGAAATGATTTACCATACAACAGAATAAAATAAAATTCCTCAAGAGTATGGACAATGTTGATATAAACAGACAAGTGAACTTGAAGCAAGTCTTCAATGAAGTTACAGAATTACAACAATTTAGGTAGTACAAGTATTCTCTACCAATTTTTATTGACTATATATATTTCTTAAATGCAGAAAACCAAATAAAAAGATAGGATCATACCTCAGAATCTCTAGATCCTAACAAGCTTCTATCATTTATATTAGCTGAACCAACCAATGCCACCCGATCATCAACTATCATCAACTTGCTGTGCACATATATCTGAGAGAAGCAAATGCTATTAACAGGAAATCTTAAGTCATGATCTGTTACAGAATGGGGAAAAATAAAATGTACAAAACACAAAGATTCCTTAAGTAGGTACTTTTCAATAAAAAATTGAGTAGCAGCATATCCACAATTGACCAAGGATGTCATTCAAGAAAGATAATGCAGATCAATAACAACTGAAACAACAATTTTACCTGATGCTGCTAGATGATTGTAGTTCAAACTTTAAGGTTCAAACCCCAACTATGTACTCCCATACTATGAAATGGACAACTTACTACAAACCATTCACATTTTTTGCAGAATAATCAACAACTATAATGCTTGAGTCAGGCCAAATTATAGCAAAAATTAAATGATCTTACACGTGCAGTCCACTGCTGCATGATTCAAACCAATGATGTGCAAATCCTAATTTAATAAGTTCAGAATTGCACAAGTCATGAGACCTGTGGAATAAGTACCTAAACAAGCATGTAAACTTTTAGACTATTGTTATTACAAAGATCACTGTTTTGGCTACCGGACCCGTTTTGGTGATCTATTAGACCGGTACATACCGAGTTGGTGCTCAAGGAACTACAGGCACCCAACGGTCACAGTCGTCCGCCCAGCGTGTAAAGGCAAAGGGGAAGGTAGTAGCATCAATCGCATCGTTGGAAAGAATCAAGTTGGGCGACAAGACACCTTCACAATCGCATTCAACAACTCGCTCGATTCAGAGATATGATAGCAACACGGACAGTAGTGCCTCGACGGATGATGGTGGCAATGTCGGGCAATCGTTGGTCTCGTCTACACAACTTGAGGGTAGTGCATGGACCGAGGAGCAATATTTTACACATGCCACCCAAGATTCAGATCATGGAACTCAATAAGGTACTGGTCAAGTTTATGCGTAGAAGAGGAAGGGGAAGGCAATAGATGAATTTGAGCAGATGCGACAGAGCCTACAGTAGTATGATGGAGAATCATACGACCAACAGCAGTATGATAATAGTTGGTTATACTTCTCCGAGCAATAGTATGATACAGAGCAATAGATCAGTAGCGAAAGTATAAGCTCTAACATTCACCAATATATGCCTCAGGAGCTACCTCGAACAAATGTGATTCATAACGATCAACCTATGATCATCACCATATTGATGCACCAATGGCATATGGTATATCAATACACTATGTCATGGGATCAATTTCATGATTGGATCCAACAAACATATCATATTGATATGCAGATGTATAGGATCGAGGACCCCGATCTACTACCCGTGTAGGCCCGTTGTTCGTTTTGGTGGAAGAATCAACAAACAAGTATATTTAAATATGTGATTATTTAATTCATTTGAATTTTAGAGTTTATATTGTAACAAAATAGTCTAACAATTCAAATAATTTTTCTGTAGATATTTCAATATTAACAAAACGACAATCCATAATGGATTGAAATACGAACCTTGCACAAGACTATTCCTCAAAGTCCAAAAAAGAGGTGATACTATTCTTACCTAATTTACATTGATTTTGCTAACCTTATACTATTACTAAATTTATTTCTAACTTAAAAACCCTATCCTAACTTTTTTTTTATTTTCAGGTATTTCGGAGGATTTTACGCCTAAATTGGGTGTACCGCTCGGTACACGGTACCGTACCATACCGAACAAACCTCGAAACACTGGTATGGTACGATATTTCAATCGTTAGTTTAATTATGAATTTATTAATTAACTAATTTTTTTTCTTGTATTTAATCTGATTAAAGTCTAATTAGAGCTAATTAATCTCATTTTCTTAGTTTTGGACCCAATTAAGGATCCTTAGGTATAATTTAGACCTAATCACAACATGGTTATTATTGCTTGATTATGATAGTTGTGGTGGATTAAGGTTAACTAAAGCTAATTAGGGTCTTTATTTTGATTTAGACCAAATTAAAGCAACTAGAGATAACTTATTATATTGTTCTGACTACTCAGCCTCAATGTGTGGTATGGATGGAAGAACATGACTTTACGCATGCCACCCAAGATTTTTATGAAACTCGTGGATCAGCACATCTCGTTTTTGGTCAGGAAAGGGGAAGGCAGTTGACTACTTTAAGCTGATGCGACAAAACCTATACGATGATGACACCGATAGGAGTTCATCGTATTCATAACCACTGGAGGATCTTATTACCAACAGATACATAGTGATGATCAGTTTTTTCAGGTCTAATCATTCTAAGTGATGATAGCCGAAGTTCCAATATACTCCAACCTCTATAGGCCTAAATGCCACAATCATACTTGCCTAAGAAGGCTCCTCGGATAAATGTTATTAATAATGATGGACAATGGTGGTTATAACATTGATACATCAATAATATATGTTTTCAATATAATTTGTCGTGGGAGCAATTCTAAGATTCGAAGATTGGGTCTAACAAATCTATCATATCAACATACAAATTCATAGGATCAAGGATCTATATCCATCGGCCGATGAGTCACGTCATTCAATTTGATGGTAGAAGATGATATATATTAATGTTATTTTTATGGTTTATTTTGCTCAAATATTTAAGTTTCAACATCTAATCTAATATCTCAACTCAACTTTTTTCTTTGTATGTTATCCACAAGATTAATGAAAGCAACTTTCTTCAACGAAGGACCGAAAAGATAAATTCAATTTTTCATCCATATAACCTAGAATTATAATCATTTATGGCTTAGACACCTTTTTATTCTTATTTAAATTTAACTTATATATAAAGAAATTAGGAGAAAAATTCCTAAAATATATATTTTTTATTTCAGACCATTTTTTGGCATTTTTATCGATTTATGCCTATGTATACTGGTCGGTACATACCAATCAACTAGGGACTGATACGCCTAGTTGACACGATATGATATTTCAACAACTTCTTAATCCTACCTATTAAGCTAAGAAATAAGATTCATCTTTGATTTACAATTATATTAGGGCTTGATACACAAAGAATCAAATTATTAAGCTAAGAAATAAGGTTACCTAATTTACCTAATTTTGAAAAAAATTTCTATTGGATCTTTGCTTCCAACATTTGTCTTGAATTTGGGCTTCTGTTGAACCACCCAGTTCAAAGCGGTCTATGACCTAATCTGTTGTCGGTATCACACATAACGCTCAGTACATATTGGTCTAGGCAGAATGTAGATCTATGCTAAATAAATCCACTAGGAGTAAAAAAGAACCTACAACAGTCCTATTCCAGTCTGAAGGAGCATTTTATTATAGTGATTTTTCTAATATTACTTTCTTTATAATTATTGTTATATTGCTATAATACTCCTCATAAAAATTGAGAGACTATCCAATAGAATGGATTGGGACAGTGAGCAAGAGATGAGTAAAATTCACTTTCTCATCCTTAAGAGTCTAAAATTCCTATTCATTTATGCCTCATATACACTCTATTCAGACATAAATGCAAAAAAAAAAAACTATTAAATTAGTTTAAAAAAATAAAAGATGGTTTTTTATAATTTCCAATCTTTTTTTTTTTTTTCCAAAAACTAGTACATACAAATGTACCAACATAAAGAATGCTGGTACCGACCGATATGTACGAATCCGCCCATGGACTGATACCATCAGTCAGCATGGCACGTCAATCCATGACTATGATAATATGAAAATTGTGAATCTTTAAATGAAACTATAAGGTAACACATATGAAATGCAAGAGCATTTTGTATATTGTGTTAGTAAGAAAAGAAGCTTATTATAGGTCCAAGTGAGAATTTTTTTGTACAAGGGAGCTACCTGATTGGTAACCAGATGACCTCCATCACAAAGCCTTCCATATGATCGAAGGCCATAAAATGAAATGAACTCATGTACTTTAGGACCCATTATGTCATAAAGATTCTGCAATATTGAATTTGGTCCTCTACAAATGGTTCGATATTGCCAATGCATTATTGCCCTCACAGATGCAGCACCACCATCATCAATGCCACCCTGTTATGAAGGTTCTCAGGTAAAGAACTAAGGAAAAAGAAAGAGAAAAAGGAAAACAAATATCCTGTTAGTGCACAGTACCTGAAACCCAGGTAACAAGGGTATGATAATAATAACCCTGAAACACTTCTTTTCTTTCTCAGCTCTCATAATACGTTGACACAGTGCTTCCAATACACGATTCCTTATTATGACATCTCCTGAGAGACCTGATATGAAAAACTGGTTCTGGGAAAAGGTAGAGATGGCAGACATTCAGAAATTGGTAAAGAGATAAATGATATTCTGGCTGAGAATGTCAATATAGAATCAGAGATACACATAAAAAATGATGCTTTTCTAGATTTTTTTTAAGAGCCTGAATAAAAGTGTAGCTGGAAATAAGCCACGTCATTGAGAAAGTGCTGCATTTTCTAGTCATTACAAGGAAGAAATTTCAAAATTAAACACACCAAACACAGAATATTTTACCCATATCAGTTTAGTATGTCTCAATAGTTATTACTACGCTAAACACCACCATGAATAAATATATGGCCAAAGGAAAACGTCCAAGGTAAGAAATCACAAATTATTAGAAAATTTTAAATTCTTAGCAGGGTTCTGCATCAAAATTTGAACATGAAGAATGACGCCATAACAAGAAGGGCATCTGAAGCAATAATCAGATAGAAGGCAAGAAAAGATGGATGACAGCAATCAGAAACTAACTTGTTTGAACAGAAACAATGCCCTGAGAACTCAATATCTACTGGATTAGGAGCATCCTTTTCCTTTTTTGTTGGAACAGTGTGGGAGGCATGTTTGTTTTGTCAGCCAAAAGCCTTCTTTTTTTCTATTTATCCCTCATCTCCCTTCTTTTCTCGTGTATTCTTCTTTATTCTAAACTACTTTTGATATTGTTACTGAACTACAGTATTCTCTTTCATTTGTTAATTTGTTAAAAGTATGAGATATGAGAAGCTACTGTAATTTGTATAATCTTGAGTTGGAAATTGCGAATAGTTTGCTTCTTGTGCATATTCTTCTCACATATTTCGATGTGCCTGTCATGTATGACAGTCCATAAATGGCATTTTCTCATTGCAACATGTCACCCTATGTAAGCTACTCACAAAAGATCAATCCCTTATCCTCCATTACAGCAAACAAGTCTACATCTTCTCTGTAAAACATGTGGATAGTTTTAATTTTTTCTGCTTTTGCAAAACTTGCTTTTAGCATTTTCTTTATCATAAATTTGTACAACATAATCACATTATTCAATTGAAATCAGATTCATGCAATACTGTACACAAGTACAAGTATCCTAGACCATGGACAGCGACAATTGCGGAGTTATTGCTCAACCGACTACTGTCCAGGTCTAGTTGATCATTTTATCTTAATTATTTATTCAGACCATAGTTTTTCCTATATTGGTATATGGTATTATATGTTGAATATGAATTATATAATAGCTAAACCATTACTGCCTACTGCCACGATGTCACAGACAAACTTCGAAACAGGATATTTGATTTAATGCTTATATATGTCCATGTCTTTTGGTATGTTCATGCTTTGTACAGCATGTAGAGGGACGGCCGAAGGCTTGATAGTCCCATTTTAGTTAGGTTGGTGGCCGCTTTAGGCTTGTAAATAAAGGTTGTCATGTGAACACGTATGAGAGATTTTCGGTCTATAATTGACCATTTTACCCTTTGTTGTGTAACTGTTCAGAGCTTGTAAAATCTGTTTGTAATTTGCATTGTCTATTAAGTGTTTTCGGATATGTTTGCTTGTGGATCCCAAATGAGGCGTTTTCTCTAAACCGTTCTCTCTTTTGTGGGTCCTAAGGGACATGGGAGGCTTCGGGGAGGCTGACATTTGCGGACGGACACGCAAGGGTACCGCACGACTTAGGAAAAACCAGCTAAGTCCGTGACAGATGGTATCAGAGCGGGACAAGCACTCATAGAAACACTTAGCATGCAAACGTGGGGGACCTAGCAGGGCTGCGTTGAGGACAGTCAGCACACGCGCGACCGTTTGGGGGAAAAACGGGCATGGAGATGTAGGGAAAAAGAGTCGCTCGGGGGAGCGGGCATCTGACATTGGCATTCAGCGGAATGGCTAACCCTTCGCGTAAGAGGCACCACGAGAACAGGCAAGCTTGGAAGAATGCGGAGCGCACAAAGGTTGGGATGGCTGAGTTTGATCTATGGCTCAACGTTGACAACTATACTTGATGGTGAACAAGGCAAGCGAGGCGCTTGGTAAAGGATGAGACCATGCAAGGTGGAATGAGTTGCTCAACGACCAAAAGAGTTATGCAAAGCCCACAGAGGTGAGGGGAATTGCTAGCTCGAAGAATTTGGTACTCATGCATGGGCTTATATGCGGACGATGGAATGTTCGTGGCCATCCCAAGGCGACCGAAACTCGACACCATGGAGCATTGAAACTTTCTCTTCGGCATGTGAAGGATATGTCCGTAGGAGGCTGAAGGGTGCAACGAGTTCAGCATGTTGCTAGGCCTTGAGTGGTGCAGCGGGAGCTATATTAACGTGGAGTCGCAATCTAGCAAGCGTGGTTGCAGGAGGCAGAACAATGCACAGTTTGTTCAGCAGATTGGAGTAGTCCAAGGGGATGGTGGTCTCCAAAACGAAGAGAGATGTTGCTCCAACGGGACAGTTATCCAGGAGGGATAAGACCCGGCTCTCCAGAGGGAGAATCATGTGGGACGGACATCACATGTTGAGGAGGAGTACCTCAACAAACAACAACTCCACGAAGCTCAATGGTCTGAGCAAGCGACGAGGAGTCATCGCATGATCTCGCTCGAGAGAATGCATTAGTAGATGCATTGCGAGATCAAGTGGGGGGAGCAACCCAAAGCAACTCAAATGAAGGCACACTTGGAGTCGATATGGAAATCAGACTCAAGGGAGGGTTGACCCGTGGAATGGTGGGCACGAGGGCCACCATCGACTCAATGCAAAAATGAGGAGCGGAGCAACTTGGGTGTAACTTGGCGAAGTACTCAAGCCGCATGAAGGGAGCCAGCATAGAAGTTGGAACATGGAGCAGAGGCACAGTGCTTTCCTTAGACAAAGGTCAAGGACATGAACTCTTGCAGAGGCAAGAGTATGATCATGTTGTTCTATGGGTCCTTCATTCTGACGGAGCGGACTCATCTTGCATGCTGCCAAAGACGAAGGGAGCTTCTGGGAACATGTACCTTATCTCGGAAAAGCATTTGATGGAGGAACTAAGACGACTCAATTTGCGGAGGCGAAGTTGGGTTCAGAAGGCCTTAGCACGGGGCAAGAGGACGCAGAGGCGGCTACTCTTGAAAAATATGCCACAGTGTTACAAATCAATTTGCTAGGCAGGAAGCGGTGCGCAGCGGAGATTGTGCTGGTAGGGGCAGAGGCCCAGGATCCAGACAATGGGGCACTAATTGCAGCAAAGTCGGGGGACTTCGGGAGCTACTAGGTGACGGACTGTCCTAGAGCGGTGCTTCATGTAGGTGTGACCCAAGAGTGGGTGGATGAAGATCGATTGCCAAAGGAGCGAACAAAATCGAAGGTGGAAGAGACCCTGCGATGTATTGGTAGAGGCCACACATGAAGGGTTCACAATTCGAGTTCATCCCACAAGGATCAGAATGCAATAGAGATGTCACCAGGAGGCGGCATGGTGCAGCGGATCGTGGTGGAACAGTTCGTGGCAAAGCGATACACATGACATAGTCCCGTGAGGGACTAGATCATACGGAGGTATGATCGGGAGCTACTGGAAGCTCCACTTCGGAGAACAACACGACAGCAAGAAGGGCTATGGATTCAAGGAGTGAAGGCCATGGAACCGCAGAGGCGGGTCTTCCGTGCGTGCATCGAATGAAAACCTTGGTCATCAGCATATGGGGGCTGGGTTCCACCAAAGGAAAAAGTTCGAACGCAAGTATTAGTGAGTCCCATGGGAGGGACGTGATCATACAGAGGTATGATCGAAGCAACTGGAGAGTTGGACTGCTCCAGAGCTCATATTCGCTTAAGGGAGCCCGACAAGTCAGAGGACAAAGTCGAGTAAGCGAACGTTGCTACCAAGGAAGCTAAGGAAAACAGAATCGGTGCAAACCCTATAATGCGATGGCAGAGGCCATGCATGGGAGTTGCAGTCTGTCTTTCCATCGACTAGAAGAAGCTGCTTAGAGAACACAGAGGTGTTGAAGCATGGGGTCGAAAGGGGCGAGGAAGCGACGACGAGTCCAGAGGGACTTAGCTACCCACAATCAAGCATCAGTTAGAATGGAGGTGTACTCGGAGGAGTGCCACAGAGGCATATCTACTGATTGGGAAGAAAAGGGATGTAGATGCGAGGTGACGGAGAATAGTGTCATGGGCATGGCAGCGCCATGGTACCGCAGAGGCGGGACTTCCGTGAAAGTCATTGATCCCTTGCTCTCATGGAGGGAGAGCGCTTTGTCATGAAAGGGGCCGAGGAGGTGGAGCATGCAGAGGCAAACTCCAAGTATCGAGACAAGGCTGAAGGGCAGAGGCCAAGGAACTTTGTAAGACCGGTGTCAACGAGCTTCTCATCATGATAGCCGAAAGTAAAGAACTTCGGGTCAGACAAGAGTGCATAACCAAGGAATGAAGCAGACAGTACGTGGTGCTGTACCTTTGCTACTCAGTGGAGTAGGCGGCATGGTTAATGGAGAAGACAGTACAATCCCAAAGGCGATCAAACATATGAGAGAATTACTCCAAGTTGGGGCGAAAACTTCCTGCATTCCAGAAGTTCGATGGCATTGAGAAGGTGAATCACAGTAACTTACTCAACGCAAGGAGTGCAAACACTTCAAGTGCTTTAGAAGTGTGAGCAAAGAGCAAGCGAAGGCTAGTAACCAGCTCGATGCATGGAGTACAACCTCGAGGAGGCAAACGAAGTCAAGTAACCTTTGCCTTCTCAAACCTTAAGAGAATAGGCGAAACCGAGTACCATAATTCTCTTATCTATCCAGCAGAGGAGCTCTGCACAAGTTCAAAGACCCTTCGAAGATAATGGAAGACAATAGTTGTCAAATCCTCACCAACGGTGATCAGTGCTACTGAAAGTAGATTGTCCGCTTCATTTCCCAACGAAAAGCCAATCGAAAGCGGAAGTGATGCGAACCTACTTAGATGTGACAACTGAGTGAAAGAAGAGTCAATGAGCAAATTTTGTGGAGGAAGGACCCAAAACTTCAGAAGTTTGCGAGACGATGCTCGTTAAAGCTCTAACAAGCATCCACCCAGTTCAAGCAGTATGAGGCATTTGAGAGACTGGCATAGTAAGGATGGTCTTTTCCTTCATCTGGAGGATCCGCAGGAACCAACAGGGATCAACACAACTCAGCCAACCCCACACTAGAGTCAGAGTCATTGGCGAGTTTAAGCAGCATGGCGGATCAAAGGTTCGACTACTCAAAAACAGCAGTGGTGAGTAGTTGGGAGCCAGGAGGCGCATTGCAGCTGGAGCAGAAGGTTGAAGGCTCAGCAAAGGCGAGGAGTTGCAGTGTCGACAACGGCTTCGACGAGGACGTCGAAGGAATAAGTGGGAGAGAATGTCACGGACAAACTTCGAAACAGGATGTTTGATGTAATGCTTATGTATGTCCGTGTCTTTTGGTATGTTCATGCTTTGTACAACATGTATAGGGACGGCCGAAGGCTTAATAGTCCCATTTTAGTTAGGTTGGTGGCCGCTTTAGGCTTGTAAATAAAGGTTGTGTCATGTGGACACGTGTGAGAGATTTTCGGTCTATAATGGACCATTTTACCCTTTGCTGTGCAACTGCTCAGAGCTTGTAAAGTATGTTTGTAATTTGCATTGTCTATTAAGTGTTTTCGAAGATGTTTGCTTGTAGATCCCGAATGAGGCGTTTTCTCTAACCCGTTCTCTCTTTTGTGGGTCCTAAGGGACATGGGAGGCTTCGGGGAGACTAACCTTTGCGGACGGACACGCAAGGGTGCCGCACGACTTAGGCAAAACCAGCTAAGTCCGTGACAACAAGGCCTTTACGGCTTTAGGTTTCACAGTTTCACCTTGCACACCTTATGATATGCTGTTTCACCCCTTTTCAATACCAGAACTGAATGTGCATAACTCTCGTCATTGAATAGACACTATTAATTAATACTTTTATGTTCAAGTAGCTTCATCACAACTCATTGTACAACAGGAACCTCCTGTGCTTCCACAAAAAGAATGGATCTCTAGCATTAGGTTTTGACTATCCTCACAATTTTCAATTGCATAATTCAAATACAGACCAAATTGGCCAAGCCAGAGCATTTATTACTTTCATGGGGATAAGCAGAGGCTTTTCTCATTTATGGGATGGAACTGGGAATGCACAAGGATTCTCTAATAAGGAAGGCAAAGGTTTTGTAAATGAGATAAGAAATTCTGACTATAGGAATTTTTAAAAATCATTATTACAGTTATTTGAACAATAAGAACAAAAAAAATCCAATATAAAATGAAAATTTCCCTACCTCAATGTAAATGAAGTGCTCTGCTTTTTCGATAAGAGAAGTATAGGCATTATGAATGCTTTCTTCAGTCTGGCTTGTTCCAGCTGACCACTGTCCAACGCTTCTAAGAACCTATAGCCAATATCTCATCAAATAAATTTAATAAATATTATACTTCAGTTTAGATAAGTTAAAAAATAAAAACATTATAATATAACATCCAAAGAAAAAAATTATGTAAACAATGAAACCTACATGCCATAAATCACAAGAGGACCAAGATGATAACTTAATCCAATCTAGTTATGAGCTTAAGTCTAGAGGAGGAATGTTTTATACAAGACAACAATTTTACATGGTTCTATGGATTCTCATGTCCAGTCACACAAATCTGAATCAGATACACATCCACCTGATAATACAAATAAATACTTGGACATCAACAAGATTTAATTCTAAACGTATATAAAATTAGGGATATGGATTCACGCATGAACAAGTCCACGTTACTTTGACCAATGTAATAAATGGCATGCTGCAGACAACAATTGAGGATCTGAATGGTCACAATATTACAAGAACTGCTAGAAGCCCAAGATGGGAAATCCATCAAAGCTTTTGCATAAAAGAACTAAAAAGTAGAGTCAAGAAAGAAAATCAAATACCATTCATACAGCAATTTACCATCCAGTTATCATGTAAAGCATAATAACATAATCTGCAAGTTTGACATGCAACATCAAAAACACAATACTAGAATCTAACTGTGATTTTAACAAAGAAAATATCAAACGATAAAGTCAATCATCAAATTTTCTAACAGGAAGGGTTCCTTTTCTCCATAGGCGAAGAGAGAGTAGGAAAAGAGGAGAAATAGATGAATGATGCCATGGGTCTTTCCATCATCCGCCTATTCCTCTTTGTTTGACTGAAAAGTCTCCAAAAAATAGAAGAATGAAGCACTCAGAGTAAAAACTCAATGTTAAAAACTTAAAATCTTATTTATGTTGGACATGTTAACATAAATTGAAAACTTTTAACTATTTCATGCAAACTAATAGGAAATTAAATGGCAGCTTGTGGACTAGTGTAGAATTTGTCATTTAAAGTGCTTGTGTAGGCTCATCTTTAGCAGCTATCAGACAGCTATAGCAGCTGCTATGTTCTAAAATCGCCATATACCATGGATACAACTGAGGTTCAAAATCTTGATATCAAATCCATACCAGTCCGCTGGCAGTGTACCAGCACATGGTAACATTGAGACAAGACAACCAGATGTCTTAGCCTAGTTGGCATGTTGATTCATGGACAGACTGGTAAATACCAGGTGGTAGCTACCAGTTCGATCAGAATCCCAAATGTTGGCTTCAACTATAGTGTGGCACTTGCGAATGCAAATTCTGTAGCAGCTACCATCACCACCACAATCACCATTTTTCTAATTAAAATATAACTATTCTAATCTCTAAGGACACTTGATATCTGTGTTTTTAGTAACCAATTTATGTTGTTTATTGCTGACCTTGCTGTCTGTCATAATTATTGCTTTATATTAAAACTTAAAAGTACAGGTTCAGCCTAGAAGTGTCAATATTCAAGATATAGGTGCGCAGATGTGATAAAAGAGCAAAATAATATATAACTAGCCAGGGATTCAACATAAAAGTTGGACCGGTATGTACTAAACATTGTGTACTGACAAGTATCTGCAGGGAACAGGCAATTTCAGATGGCTCTTCCATAATGCTCCTTGTAGCTTGGTAAAGGTCCTGAACGGGGGCCATTGCTTGGTTTCAGCCTATTACAATCAGTCTATCAAATGGTGACGTCACCCCTGGTTATTGGATCCATCAAAAGACCTGTTAAGAGTCTCTTTGGACTTTTTTAAATCTCCTTTGCCCTTCTTTCGTCCACCTCTTTCATCTTTCTTCATTCCCTCTCCCAATTTCACCCAATTTTCAGTCAAAATCCTCTCGCATACTCCCTCAATCCAATCTCAAAAGCTCAAGATTTCTGAAACTGGAGGCCATCTCAACAAATTGAATCCTGTTCTCAAAATCTGAATTGGTTTTCTCCAAAACGAAAAGGTAAATCCTGAAACTTAGCTTTCAAATTAATCACTTTGATGTTTATTGCAAGAAGTTAAGGATTAGATTTTTTCTCTTGTAAGACAGTTATTTCATGAACCTGTGTTTTCCTTAATGGATTTGGGGCTGGATCCGCAAAGATCAAGCATGTAACCTTGCGGATCTAAGCTAGATCCAAGAGGATAAAACTTTGGGGATTTAGGTTAGATCTACAGAAATCCAGCCTATGTTTTAAGTATGAAATTGAATTTTAAATTTACTGTATGATGTTCAGAAATCTTCTATATATATTTAAATAAATATAGTTTCTAACCCTTATTTGGAAAATGTTTTGATTTATTATTCATTATTTTGTAATAAAAAATCTTCATAAATTCACTGAATATTGACTCGAATTAGATAGAACCAAGGATTGCAATATCGTACCGTACCGGAGTTTCGAGATTCGCACGATACGATACTGTATATCGAACGATATA